GTGTATATGATTTTATTATGGTCATGATGTTATTGTTCTTATATGTTATTTTCACTAATCTCACCGAGGTAAGTGGACAGTAAAGATTTTTATTATTAATAAATGAGTTTGTTATAAATTATACTCTATTGATCGTTTTTGTTTTCTACCAACCTTTATTTCTGTGGCAGTGAAATAGTGTGATGTCTTTACTGGGCTAGTGTAGCTCATTCCTTACTTAACCATTTCAGATCAGGAAGACGTAATTCCCGAGCCCGTCCCGCAGGAAGACGGCGAGTTAGACGCCTAAAGATTTTATAGTTCTATTTATAATTTTCATTTCGAGTATTTCCTTTAATTAGCTTATTCTTTCATACATTGAATACGTTTTTGGTTATTGTATAAGGGATGTTAATCAGAATTTTTATTTCGCTTCCGCACTTAAAATTTTTAATAGATACATCTTCATTTAAATTTTTCGGGGCCGTTACAGTTGGTATCAGAGCCGCGTTCCTTGGACTCATCCCTTACACAATAATACTTAGAGAAATACCCACCAATAAATCGTTACTCAACTCTTCCTTGTGAGATGCAGGTGCAAAGAAATGAGGAGAGGAAGACCCCCACTAAACCGAGCAGCCCGGGATGATTCGCTTCGAGAAGATGTGGACAGAATATTTGAGATGTTGGAAAGGATCATGGCCGCCCAACAAGGTCGAGAGGAGAGAAGGGAGTTACCCGAACCTCCCCCACTACCACGGGTTGAGCCACCGCTACAGCAAGCAGATTCCGAGCCATCCCAGCACGAGCCTGCTCGATCACAGTACCACCCGGCACCACCGCCGCAGTATGAACCGGTGCCCCAGCCACCATATTGCCCGGCACTGCCATAGTACAATCCGGTGCCCCCACCATATCAGCAGGTGCCACTACAGGGCCCCCCAATCTATCCCCAGCCGGGCCCAGTCCTTCTTCCACGGGACCCAACTCCTTCCTTGATCGACCCAGGTTACATAGAGAGGTACAGGAGGCTGACCCCTTCCACTTTTGCAGGGGGATCCTCTTTTGAAGAGCCCAGTACTGGTTGGCGGAGACTGAGAGAGCTTTCAAGACCTTGGGAGTGGATCCCGAGCAGAGAATTGC